CCGCGTCGTCGTTTCTATTATCATTGGAGGCCGCCGTACTCTCGTTCCCGGCATCGGGGGATTCCGCGAGACTGCTCCTCGACCCGTCCGCCGAGGAGTCCCGCAGGGAAGGATGGCAGGCGCGCGCCCTGCGGGCAACGCAGCCGACCTACGCCATTGCCGCCGAACGGGCCCTCCGGCGACAGCTAGACCATTGGCGTCTCGTTACGTTGCCGGGGCGCCGATGCCAGAGGCTATTGAGGGCCCTAGGCAGCATCAAGGCGTTGGTGCCGCCCCGGGTGTTGGCCGCGGTGTTGCGATCCAACCTGAACGGCTGGACGGCGGCACGGAGGTTTCAGCGGTGTGGTAAATGCGTGCTCGGCTGCGCACGTGCCGACGATTCGCTCCAGCATTGCGCACAATGCCCACTCTATCATCAGCTGCGTCGGCAGCACTTTCGCCTGGAACGCCCTGGCTCGGCCGTGGCCCTCGACGACTTCTTGCTCATCGCTTCGGCTACGCGACAAGTGCGCATCGCGAGCCTCCGGTTGGCGGTGCCGTTGCCTCGGCGCTCCGAGCCCTGAGCGTGTATGCTTTGTACCGCACCCATAATACTGCCCGCAATTCGCCTGGGACTAGCCCCCGGTGTGACCTGTTCCGCGGCTACGTCCGCGAAGGGGCCAGGGGTCATGCCAATGCCATGTCTTTGATCAGCGCGGTGCACAAGCGCCGGCGCCAAGATTAGCCTCTCCTCCTTGTCCTGGGTTGGGGTGGGTCTTGGGGCCGGTCGGGTCCTGGGGTGTTTTTGGGCGTCGCTGTGTCGGTTTGTCGGTTTGTCGGTTCCTCCCTCGGTCCCTCTCCCCCTCCTTTCAGTTCGTGCGATTTTTATGTTACATGCTAGGGCACCTGGTGCTGTTTCCCCTCCTCGCGATCTCGCGGCTGGGGCCCGACTCGGCGGCCGCGCAGGAGAGCTGCGGTGCTCGTTTTGAGATCGGAGTTGAGTGTATCACTCGGGGTCTGTATTGCGAATAACTGCCCGAATTTCCGCCCCTAGTTTCGGCCACGTTCGCAGGACAGGCGTTCTGTTGATGACAGCGGTTTCTTTGTCTTTGCTCTTGTGTGTTTCCTATTTCTCTGCGCTTGCGCTGCAGTGGTCATGTGGGCGCCCAGACTGACAGGCAGTCGGGCGATGACCGCCGAGTCCAATCAGTCTGCACTTTTGCCCCACAAGCCGGTACAACATAATATTGGCATCCTCATTTTTGGGTGCACCGGCCTATCTGCTGTTTTAGGGGTGTAGCTTGTTGGACGTCGCGTTCTCTCCTCACGGCCTGCGGGCTGATCTCATCCATTGCTCTCTGTCCTGGGGGCCAGCGCGCAATCTGAATCGTGACAGCGTCTGTCCGGAAGGAAATTCGAAGAGGCCAAAAAGATGGTGAGGAAGTCTCAGGCGAAACGCCCAGACCGCCATCAAAACTGGCCCCTGGGTGCGACAGGGAGAAGTTCTCCAAATAGGTTTGCCCTATAGGAGTTCTAATTTAAACCCTACTAATTGGTCCGTTGCCCCCTTTAATTCCGATGCCACCCCCGAATTCCTATGGCTATGCCTCTGCCTATGCCTATGCCTCCCCCTAACTCCTATGCCTACGCCTATGCCTATGTCTATGCCTATGCCTCCACACAGGCTTGCCCTAAAGGAGTCCTAGCTCATCATGTCAGCCAGCGTTGATTCCAAACAGACAGGAGGACAGGAGGAGGACGAGAGGAGGATGGGAGGAGGACGAAAGGAAGACGGGAGCAGGACGGGAGGAGGACGGGAGAAACAAATTCAAGCAAGCGCAAACAAGCAAGCGGAAGCAAGCGCGCGCAAGCGAGCAATAGCAAGCAAGCAAGAACCAACGATCAAGTGCAATCAAGCAAGGGCAAGCAAGAGCACGCGAGCGAGAGCAAGCACGCAAGAGCAAGCAAGCACGTGCCATTTGAAAAAGGGGGGTGCCATTGGAAAAAGGGGGGGCGCCATTGGAAAAAGGGGGGGACCCAAAGACCAATTACTCATGATGAGCTAGGACTCCTAGAGGGCATTGGAGAATGATGAGCTAGGACTTCTTTATGGCAAGCCTATTCGGAGGCATAGGCATAGACATAGGCATAGGCGTAGGCATAGGATTTATGGGGGGAGGCATAGGCATAGGCAAAGGCATAGCCATAGGAATTAGGGGGAGCATCGGAATTAGTGGGGGGCAACGGACCAATTAGTAGGGTTTGAGTTCTAGGCAAGCCTACTTGGAGAATTCTCCAAATAGGCTTGCCCCATAGGAGTCCTAGCTCATCATAAGTAATTGGTCTTTAGTAACCCTCCTTTCCTTCCAATGGCACCCCCAATTTTTTCCAATGGCATCTCCTTTTTCCAACGGCGCTTGCTTGCTTGCTCTTACGTGCTTGCTCTCGCTTGCTTGCTCTTGCTTGCCCTTGCTTGCTTGCACTTGATCGCCGGCTCTTGTTTGCTTCTTATTGCTCGCTTGCGCCTGCTTGCTTCCACTTGCTTGCTTGCGCTTGCTTGATTTTGCTCCTCCCGTCCTCCTCCTGTCCTGTTCCCGTCTTCCTTTCGTCCTTCTCCCATCCTCCTCTCGTCCTCCTCCTGTCCTCCTATCTATTTGGAGTCAACGCCGGCTGATATTATTCATAAGGAACAGGAATGGAGGAAGAGGAGGAGGAGGAGGAGGAGGAGGAGGAGGAGGAGGAGGAGGAGGAGGAGGGAGAAGGGGAGAGAGGAGGAGAAGGAGGAGGAGGAGGAGGAGGAGGAGGAGGAGGAGGAGGAGGATTTGGAGGAGGAGGGTTACCAGTGTAAGCCCAAGAGTCATTAACGATGTTGGAATTTACCCTCCCTCCAAGCTCCCTCTTCATAGGCCCCTACAACGGTTCATTTCCATTGAGGGAACTGTCTCGTTGGAAGGCAACCGTTTGAAGACCCTGAAGCATGCCAAAACATCGTTCTCGGGATTTCAACGCCACGGATCAACCTGACTGCTGCGTTCTTGACGATCCGGAATTGTACCAGAACGCCATTTCGGGACTTGAACACCGCGAAGCAGCATACATGTTGCACACGCATAATTCGGAATTGTTCCCAAACGCCAGTTCGGGTACGTTGATCGCGGCGGGAGACCGTGAAACTCTTCCAATGTTTTGAAAACGAATGTGCGCGGCGCCAAGGCGAGAGCGACATTTTGAAAAGGAGCCGCCCTCAATCCGTGAAACTATTGCAATTTGGTATAACGAGTGTGCGCGGCGCTAAGGGGTTAGCTACATTTTGAAAACCACCCGCCCCCAATCCGTGAAACTCTTTCACATGATTGAAACGAATGTGCGCGGCGCTAAGGCCAGAGTCACATGTTGAAAACGACCCGCCCTCAATCCGTGAAGCTCTTGCAAATTGTTAGAACGAGTGTACGCGGCGCTAAGGCGAGAGTCACATTGTGAAAACGACCCGCCCTCAATCCGTGAAGCTGTTGTCAATTTTTAAGCTTCAGAGTCATAAGTGGTGAGGAAGTCTCAGGCGAGAAGCCCGACACGCCTCAAAAGCTGGCCTCGGGGGTGTGACAGGGAGAAGTTATTTATAAGGGAAGGGATGGAAGAGGAGGAGGAACATTATCAGGAGGAGGAAAAGGAGGAGGAGGAGGAGGAGGAGGAGGAGGAGGAGGAGGAGGAGGCCTCAATCCGTGAAGCTCTTGCAAATTGTTAGAACGAGTGTACGCGGCGCTAAGGCGAGAGTCACATTGTGAAAACGACCCGCCCTCAATCCGTGAAGCTGTTGTCAATTTTTAAGCTTCAGAGTCATAAGTGGTGAGGAAGTCTCAGGCGAGAAGCCCGGCCTCAAAAGCTGGCCTCGGGGGTGTGACAGGGAGAAGTTATTTATAAGGAAGTATACGATGGAGGAGGAGGAGGAGAGAGGGATCAGGAGGAGGAGGAGGAGGAGGAGGAGGAGGAGGAGGAGGAGGAGGAGGAGGAGGAGGAGGAGGAGGAGGAGGGAGGAGGAGGAGGTGGAAGGAGGAGGAGGAGGAGGAGGAGGAGGAGGAGGAGGAGGAGGAGGAGGACGAGGAGGCGGAGGAGGAGGAGGAGGACGGAGGGAGGTGAGAGTAGGAGGAGGAGGAGAGGAGGGGAGGAGGAGGAGGAGGAGGAGGAGGGAGGAGGCGGGAGGAGGTGTGAGGAGAGGAGGAGGAGGAGGAGGGGAGGAGGAGGAGGAGGAGGAGGAGGAGGAGGGGATGAGAAGAGGAGGAGGAGAGGGAGAGGAGGAGGAGGAGGAGGAGGAGGAGGACGAGGAGGAGGAGGAGGAGGAGGAGAGGAGGAGGAGGAGGAGGAGGAGGAGGAGGAGGAGGAGGAGGAGGAGGGGGCAGGAGCACTAGCAGCAGCAGGGAGCCTGGGCGATCGACCTCTCTAGCCGCTACCGCGCTGGCCTGCATCTTCTCTTTGGCCAGGTCGCTGCTGGAGCAGCGCCAGAGCAGCTGTGACCCTCGCGGCCCTTGTGCCCATGGTGAGCATTGTGAACTCATTTGGAGCCTCGGTTCCCTTCTAACACCTTTGACCCTTGATAGCCGTCAGACCCAGGCTCCTGCTATGGCTGCCACTACTCCTGATGCCTGAAGGACTGCAGCCTGGCACGCCGCCGCGGCCTCTTCCGCGCCGTGGCCGTCGCGCGGGTGGCCCTCCAGCGCAAGGGCTTGCGCCAACTCGCGCTGTGGTGCGTCCGCTGCGCCAGCCAGGACGAGGCGCTGGACCGCGCTCGGGCTCGCCGCCTCGGTGCCCGACATCGGGCGAGCCTCCGGCGGTGGGCCGCCGCCGTGGCGCGAGCACGCCGCCTCCGCGAGAAGCGCGCGGCCGCGGCCGCCCACGGCCGCTCCGGCCAGTGCCGCCGCGCCCTCGCCGCGTGGGCCCTGCAGTGGCGGAAGGCGCAGAAGCTGGACCAGGGTGCCGCGGGGGTGGCGCGAGGGCGCGCGCGGCGCCTCCTTGGAGCGGCGTGGCTCGCCTGGGGCGGCGCCGTCTGCGCGCGGCACGCGCTCGCCAGCCTGCGGGGGGCGGCCGGCGCCTGCGTGCAGAGGGGCCGCCTGCGTCGGCACCTTTGCGGGTGGGCCGCCTCGCGCGCCTGCGCGGTGAGGGCCAGGGAGGCCGACTCGCGACGGCTGTCGGCCGCAGCCTGCTCGGCCTGGAGGCGGGCCGCGATCGTGCGCGCCGCGGCAAGGTCGCAGGTGGCCTCTGCCCGCAGGCACCTCCGCGAGCGCAGCCGCCGCAGCGCCTGGCAGGCGTGGGCGCGGCGCTGCGCCACGAGGCAGCAGCTTGGGCGGCGGACGTGCTGCGCCCAGGGCAAGCGCTCGCACGCCGCAGCCCGCAGGAGCCTCGCGCAGTGGAGCTGGCGCCTGCAGCGCCTGCGCCATCTTCGCGCCAAGGCCATCGCGGCGACCGAGAAGCGCGCCTGGCGCCTGGGAATAGCAGACGGAACCCAGCTTCGGCCGCTGCGCGCCAGCACGGGCGCCGCCCTAGCCTCCTTCTTCAAGGGCTTGCTGCTGCACAGGGTGTGGCGCACGTGGCGCCGCCTCCGGGAGCTCTGGCGCGCGCGCGCGAGGGAGGTCGAGGCCAGGGCGTCCTCGCTGGAGGCAAAGGTGGAGGACGCCTTGCTCGCGCGTGCGCTCCGAGGCCTGTACTCCCTCGCGAGGGCCCACGCCTCCAGGCGAGGCGATGCGGTCCGGCAGCTTCTGCTGCTGCCGCGGCTGGCCGTAATGGTCGCACCACCCTCCGCGAGGAGCCTGCTGGCCTCTTTCTTCCGCTGCTGGAAGTACACGAGAATCCTGGGCAGCAGCGCCCGCGAGACCCTCCAGTGTGCGTCGCTGGCCTGGCGCGCGGAGGCGTCGCGCCGTGCGGCCGTGCGGGCCGTGTTGCGCCGCGCGCAGTCCCTGGCGAGCTCGAGGCACGCGCGCGGGGCGCTGCTTCAGTGGAGGCTCCGC